GAGGAGGAGGAGGAGGAGGAGGGAGGAGGAGGGAGGAGGAGGAGGAGGAGGAGGAGGAGGAGGAGGAGGAGGAGGGGGAGGCGGAGAAGGAGGAGGAGGAGGAGGGACGACGATGAGGAGGACTCGAGGACTCGAGAGCAGAGGGCACCGCGGTCGACTCCGCCGCCGCGGCCCCTGCGCCCGCGCACGCTGCGCAGGCTCTCACGAGGTCGCGAGCCAGCCCCAGAGACAGGGCGAGCTCCACCTCACTGCCACTCCAGGGCAGAGTAGATCAGCGGGGCAGCTGGGGGCAGCTGCCCCGTGAGGTCGCGAGCCAGCCCCAGAGACAGGGCGGGCCTCCACCTCACTGCCTCTCCAGGGCAGAGTATCTCTGCGGGGCCGAAGCCCCGAGCCGCGTACTCACCCACGTTGTCGCCGCTCAGCAGCCACACGTTGTCGACGCCCAGCTGCGACTCGTGGTAGCTTGCCGCCGTTGGGCGGCACCGTGCCATCTGGCCAGTTCTGGCCAGCCTTAGGGGGTAACCCTTGGCGTAGACGTCGGAGAACAGTCTGGCCACTCTGCGTGATCTGCTCTCTGCACTTCGCTGCCAGAAGGGATACACGCCCATGTCCTTCATCACTGTGTGACGCCACCGCTGCACAATTCCAACACCAGAACTGCCCATGAGCAACAGAGATCGAGTGGCTCGGGTGGATCACTTTATCTTGAATTTCAATCATCTCATTGTTGGGTACCTGTACTGCATGCCCATGATCAGCTCGGTGTACTGCATACTGCCGCCCAATAAAAACAGTGGTTCTTAACCAATCAAAAAGACTATACTTGCCTGGAGTTGTCCAACACTCTTGGCAGACCCAACGTCCTTTCATTGGTTTCATATCATGTCCAGAAACTTCTTGTAGCTGGAGGCGCTGCTCACGTCGTAAGTGGAACGCTTTGTGCCGCTGCTGCTTGGGCCTGTCCAGCTTGGTTGGGTCCGCGTCCTTGCACATGTCGAAGATGATGGCGGCCGCACGACGCTGGACACGCATCAAGAATGTTTCCACTTCAGTAAGCTGCTTGACCTCCTCACGTATATCGTTCATGGCCTCTTCAGCTCCACGTTGCGCAAGAGTATCTGCCATTTCATTTCCAAGGCTGATCTGGAAATCTTGTTTGGACTGCTTGATTGCTTCATGGTCAAGATGAGATAAACATTTGATAATAACCACCTGATGTACTCCACCAGGCCGCTTCTTGATCATAGCACCGATACGCCCCCACCATTCCTTCAAGGCACCTTGAGGATGTTCGTAAAACCGCTGGGTCCAACCATTCACAACTTGCTGGCAGTCAGTGTAGATGGCAACCGGCCCTTTCGTCAGCGCCAATGCCCAAAACAATCCCGCGTGTTCTGCTGCAGGTACACTCTGTTCTCCATCCACCGTGCCGTAGAAACCAATATGGTGGGTATCTGCAATGACGCCGTTGCTGATGTCGATCTGATTGTTCACATTGAGGACGTGCGTGACATAGCTTGGGTTCGTCGTGTCCATTACCGTATCGCTATCCTCATAATACTCAGGAAACTCATCTTCGAGGGTGGGTGCCTGGTCGCGTAGGAGCTGTCGAAACTTCTCTTTAATTTCAGCGACGCTGTCAAACCAGTGTTGGACGTAAGCTTGTTTTTCCCATCCTTGGAGCGTGAGGTAGTGGTCATATACATCCTTGCGCCGCCTCTTGGAGGTGCGCCATCTGATGTCACATAGATCTTTGGCGAGCTGGCGGCTGCTGCGGGTCTAGTACCGTGCTTTGAGAAACTGCAAGAGGCACGCTTGTTCTGGTTGGCGTAGGAACTGCTTCATGTACGGCTCGCACCATAGTTTCCAGCTGTCGTGGTTGCGAACTTCGTCGTTATCAATGAATACTGTCCAAGTCGCTACCCAGACTCCGAGGTCATTCATCACATCCTTGTGCAGCTGCTCCGTGGTCTCGTCGGTCGGTACTTGCTTCACTTGGCCTCCCAGTTCCGTGCGACCTGCTGGGGTATTTTCGCCGAAGTCCAACGTGGCGTACGAAGATCCATCCGTGGGTATTGCGTCCAGCGGGAGGTCCCGACCAGCACCCGAAGGGCTCCCCATCTGTGGTGTTCCGTCACTCTGGGCAGGGTTTTTTTCGCCGAAGTCCAACATGGCATACGAAGACCTACTCGTGGCTTGGACGCCCATCGGGTGCGGGTCCCGAACAGCCTCAGAGAGGTTCCCCTGTTCCAAGAGTGCGTCTTGGCACCGCAGTCGCTCTTGTCCTGGTCTATGTTCTTGCGGTCCCTGTCGTAGCTGAAGTGTAAGTCCCCATCCCACTCTGTTGATGCGCTTGTCATTGCTTGTGCCTGATCCATCCACGAAGGCAATCGCGCAACATACGGGGTTGATGGTGACCAGCTCCTGCGAATATACTTTGGTTCCTGCCGTGGCCGTTGTCCAATAACTTCCATTCCATGATCCCCAAGCCGGCGCTGATGGGACTGGGTTGCGATGTTGAGGAAGTAATCCGCGTAGCCAGAACGCCTCTGTGTCAGGGTCGTTATACATTTCTTCCAGTGCACGCTTGCACAGCGACTGTGACTTGACAACGGCCTCTATGTTCAAGTTGTCATTCATTTCGCACTCGTAGATCCTGTGCTTGATCGTGTCAGCCGCTTTGGAACATCTTGGGCACTTGCCGTCAGTTTTGTAGCCAGCATCTTTGCACCGCTGCCCCGTCCATATTGCTCCACATGCCAATGCTTCAAGCGCTCCAGCTTCTTGTATGCGATCAGCTTTGCGTAACTTCTGTAATGTGCGCTTGAGCATAGTGGTGTCCATGCCGTGCTGCATGCCCTTGCCGTAGTAGTGGTCGGCGGCCTTGTTCCATATCTGCGCCTCCATGTCCGCTGCAATGGTACGCATGATATCCTTAAAGTCCAGGGCCTGGTCATCTCGGAACTTCCACAAATTGCCTCTTGGATCTTCCCGTTCATCAGGTCGGTGTGGCTTCCATCCCAGCTGCTGTAAGGATAAGGTGAGGGCGCCCATGGGTCCTGTGACTGAGTTCCAACGTCCACGTGGTCTCATATTCTGGAATCTTTGTAGATGTTCGTACCATCCTTGTCGTAGGCGCTCATGGGCAGGTGCTTATTTTTGCCATGTCTGTATCCATTCCTTTATCTGGCGCTGGAGGCATGCTGTGGCTGGTTCGTTCTCGCCGTAGAAGATGACGTTGATAATTGACGTACACCTGCCACCAGTACTGAAGCCAGCCATATCTGCATGCGTCGCGTACTGCAGCTGGGCTGAGACCTGCGATAGGCCAATCATAGCTTTGTTTCGCCCGAAGGTTTGAGTTGAATAACATGGCCGTCCTGCGTCGCCAACGTCCTTTTTGCTTGCTGAAAATATTGGCCCTTTTAGCTCTTTGTCTAGCCTGCTTGCATCTGGTAGTGCGCGTAGACGTGGTACGTTGGCGACCCAGGGCTGCATCAATACCCAAATATTTGACGTACTTCGGTGTCTTGATGTTGATTCCTTTCTGCTTGAGCTGCTTCACGATGTGCTTCTTCGTGGTGATGCAGTTCGTGAGTAGGGCCGATTTCCCCGAGACTACTAGCTTGGAATCCAGACAGGCCTGCACTAAGGTATTGACTGCGACGGGGAACTGCTGCTGGAATTCCTCAGCGCGTCCTTCTACACGTATATGGAGATCGTCAACAAACCCGCGTGCTAACGCAAGCGGCGCTGCATTGTGGGTGATGTCCAATATGATGTACACCATAGCTCTTGCCGCGTGATTCGCTGCAACACATCCAGCCACTATACCGCTCCATGGGCAAATTGGTTCAGCGTGGTCACGACAGGCTCGTACTACACGCGGTGGTAAGTACATCAGGAGGCTCATGTACAGGTTGACGGTTGGATAATTGAGTTGCATAGCACGTATGATCAAGATGCTGAGGTCCACACGGTCGTAGAATTTCTCCAGGTCAAGGTAGAAGGTGCCGTAGATCGATCCCTTGAGCTTTGCGCTGGTTTCATCAAGGGCCATTGATAGGAGTGCTGCTCGTAATGCTGATGACCCCTGAATGGCAGCGTCCCAATAGCCTGCCTTTTCTGAACACCAGTCTTGCATCTCCGCTTTGGCCATCTTGCCCCAGAGCCTGACTGGGAACGGTAGTAGTCCAATGGGTCGCTCTTCGCCCGCTGTGTTAGAACCCGCTTTGACCAATAAATGATACCAAAGGTGATAAAACTGATGTGGCCAACATAAGTTGCGTTCGCATGAGTTTAACACAAAGACGAGGCTGCGCTTCGCATCGTCAGGTAGTGCCTTGATCCCTGGTGGATGCCATTGGTCTGGGCCACGTGCTGTCGTCGGTCGAAATTTGGATAGCGCTGCTTCCAGATCTTGGATATCGTAATAATCTCGATGCAGTAAGTCGGCGTGAGCTGCTTGTTTGAATTCTGCCATGGCCGCTTTCAACTGCTCGCTGCTGTTGTGCCTCTGCCACCGCGTTTGCCAGACTCCTGCTCGGCACTCCGTGGCCTCACGAAGTGCTCCCGCCTCGTCCTTGGTGATCGGGTCCACGGCAGTGTCTGGTAGATCTCGTCGTTCATGTTTGCTGATGTATCTATCGGCATCGCGCATATTACTTGATAGCGCCGTCCTCGTCCACTGGCCGACTTGCTCACGAATCTTTTTTCCGCATCTGAGAAACATGCCAATCCATTCGCTGTCTTGTGGCTGCTGCTGCATCCTGCCACTCGGTGATATTCTCCGTGTGCGTGTCGGGGTCGATGTCGTGGCCGAGGGAGCTGACGCGTTTGGCGAAAAGGGCCGCCTGCTCATCCAGGTAGTCGGTCTCCGCTACTTCTGCGTGACTACATTCTAGATGGTGAGGCTGACAGCGTCCAAGTGGTGCTTGCTCTCTATCGGGTGCCTTTGGAGGAGCAGAACGCCGTCTCGGCAACGCTGATAGAACGCCGTCCAGAGGATGCTGGTGTGCTGCTGCTCGTCCGCTTTAGTGTTACCTTTTGGCTTGCCTGCGATGTGCTGCGGGTAGGGTGCCTCCTTGTAGCGTGTTGGCTGTCCACGTCTCGCTCGTGGGTGGATCGGTGCCTCCGTGATGGTCGAGAGTGCCCGCTCCGCCGCATTCGCCCACTTGCCGTACAACTTACCCAGCAACTCACTCATGCGCGGGTCCTGCTTGTACGCTATCGAATTCTGCACCCACGACGGCGCGCCTCGGATTCGGCAAGATGCCTCCTCGTCTCGGCACTCATCCCAGATATTCTGGTCGCATCGCATGGCCACAGTCTTCGTGTAGTACGTGTCCAGGAGCTTGCTGTCCAAGAGGTCGTCTTCAAGGTACTTGGCCATTTCGTTGTACTGGGTGCGGTCGCGTTGTTGCCGCTTGATACCTTTCTCTCTTTGAATTTCCGTCATGGGTATGGGGCGCTTGGCTGGGAGCATAGGCTTGCGGATAAGGATCGTCGACGGCTGGGCCCATAGCTCTATAACGATGCCGATGTGCGGGGGCCATGGTACCTCATGCTCGCCACGGATCTGCTTGAGCATCGGCCGAAAGTCTGGAGGGGTGATGGCATAGTCGATGAGGCGCCCCGTTCCACTGCTGCACGTGTAGCTGACGCGCTGAGGTACCACAATTGATCCACCAAGAAGTCTTAGCCAAGGCGTCGCTTCAAACTCTTGTGGTGTATTGTTGGAGTCTCCACACATTATCCAAGGTATGTTGCCCAAACTCTTTGTCAGCTGAAGTAAGTGCTTCATCTTGCGGATATTCTCACCCGTGAAGCCGATGGATGCTGCGAGGTAGGCCGTGATCACTGCGATCTGCTGTCCTTTGAGTTGCCACTTCACCATGGTGATGTCATGGAAATCCTTGGCGAAAATGCTGTGGCCCTGCGCATCTGGCAGGTGTACTCGCGTATCAAGATGACGTCGACGAAGGATGCATGTGCCTCCTAAGGTGCCCGTCGTGGACCGTGGCGATGGCCGCGCTGGCGTCCAAGTACCGTGAGATCGCCACCCGTACTGCGTGAGTCGGCTAGCCTCGACCTCTGCTGCTGGTCCTCGTAGGTGGTGCTCGCTCAGCGCGATGATGTCGTACTGATTGCTCTTGCCCTCGATGAAAAGTTTGGCGGCCGCGTTGCACTGCGTAACGTTGGCCACGAAGATGGTGACGATGGGCTTCGCATCGTCTGAATTGGTCTGCTGGTTCTTGCCTTCGGTCTGGATCTTGATGCCAGTACCTTGCGAACCTGCACGGACTGGCTCTGCCGACGGGCTTGAACAAGTAGACGATCCCCGAGAAGAAATTGACGTCGTGCTGCCATTATCATCATCTGCCCGAGTAGACGCACTCTCGATGATGTAGTCAGCGTCGTCGTCAAACCAGACCTGCTTCTGGTACGGCGGCCTGGCGAACCCGCTTGGTCCTCGATGAAGCTCTGCTGCGAGTGGGGGTTTGCCGTGCTGGACAGCAAACAAGGGCACTCTGGGCCCATCCCCCTTCGCAGCAGAGGCTAATAATAGGAAGCCGTCGATCTCGGCTTCAACATCGTCGTACTTCTGGCTGTAGTTAGGAGCCCTGCCGCGTAGCGACCATGACCTTCGCCCTGCTCTTGATCTGGGCCAGCTTCGAGAGGTAGGCCTTGACCTGGTCGTCATCTGAGAGGTCGAACTGGTTGGCGAGCTCCACCTCTGGGTCTGTTTGAACTGGTCCAGCATCGGCCGCAGGTGCATCTGCCTGTTCGCCAGGTGCTGCTGCTGGTTCCTGAGATGGTTTAGCTTCAGCTCCGTCTTCTCCTTTACGCCGCTTGCAGGCCTTGGTCTTGATGGTCTTGGCTGCGTCGAGCGCCTTCTTCGCGTTGATGACTGCTGTCTTCTTGCCGTCGATGTATTGCCTGGCCTTCTGGAATTCTTTCTGGATTGCCTCATACTCCTCTTTCTGTTTGCTGTCCAGCATGGCCAACTCCTCATCGTCCAAGGTCGGGAACTCCTCCTCCGCGTCGTCCTGTTTCTTGGCTGGCTGTGCTTCGGCTGCATCTCCTCCGACATCGGCTTTGGCCTCTTGGAAGTGCTTCTTCGCGTCGGCCAGCTCGGACACGTTGGTGCTGATCCTCTGGAGTACGTCATTGCGGTACTCGGTAGCACGCTTGAGCTGCTTGGCCAGCTTGTCTGGGTGCTTCTGGAGACGGTTGAGCTCCGCGACTGCCTCTTGGAGCTTCTGTCCTGTTGATGGCTCTGGTGCTGCGACTGGTTCAGCTGGTTTTGCCTCGGGGCAAGCTGCGAGGATCTCGTCCATGCGGGTCTGGTCGTTTTGCTCCTTGGCCGTGAGGTACTGCTTCCTGAGAAGGTCCACCATTGGCTGAGCTGCTGCACCAGGAGCTGCTTGACCTCCCGCTGGCATCGTTGACGTGGATGGTAGCTGCCACACGTGACCGCAAGTCTTGCAGTTGGTCCATCCAGGTTTGCCTGCCCTGTTGCAATAAACCCAATTGCCACTACCCACTGGACAAGTCGGGCATACCAGGAACTGCGTGTGCTTCTTGCTCTTGGTGTTGGGCGGCTTGCGGCTGGACGAACGTGAGGTTGATAGTGATGCTGACCGTCGCCACGGCGCACCCCATGCAGCTCCCCACGTCGCTTGGTCATCTGCGTCACTCCAGCCGCCGCGGCCCCGAGTCATGTACTGGGGCAACAGGAACTTTAGCAGCGGCTTCTGCCGCCCCCCTCAAGCCGCGAACCGACGTACAGCGAGCCCCAGCCCGCCGCCGCCGATGGTGCGCGCCCTGCTGCCTCGGCCCTCGCGCGGCGCGCGCGCGCGCCAGCTGCAGGCCGAAATGGCTTGAGGGAGGAGGAGGAGGAGGAGGAGGAGGAGGAGGAGGAAGGAGGAGCAGGAGGAGGAGGAGGAGGAGGAGGAGGAGGTGGAGGAAGGGAGGGAGGAGGAGGAGGAGGATGGGAGGAGGAGGAGGAGGAAAACGAGGACGAGGGAGGGGCAGGGGGACGAGGAAAACTAACTAGGGAGGGAGGAGGAGGAGGAGGAGGAGGGAGGAGGAGGAGGAGGAGGAGGAGGAGGAGGGGGAGGAGGAGGAGGAGGAGGAGGAGGAGGAGGAGGAGGAGGAGTCCGTAGCCATTTTGGCTCAAGGCTAAACGTTGTGAAGGGCTATAGACGCCCGAGAATCAGCGATTAGCTTTGGACCCCTCCGTAGCCTGTCTGCCTCAGACGGCTTGGGGTTCGTCCCGCGGCACCGTGCTCGGAGGAGCACAGCTTGCGCAGAGCCCCCCTCTCGCCACCAGACCCGTGCCTATGTCCCATGGCCGACATGCTGGCGGGAGGTTCAAGTGCAGCATGTGCGGATGCGGCCAGAACCTCCTGCACTGGAACTGGTGCAAACACTGCCGCCGACCACGCCAGGATCCCGACACTGCACTTACGCCATGGGCTGACGAGAAAGGGGGCAAAGGCACCAACCGGTGGACTCGGAGCCCGGGACGTGCAGCAGGAGCCACTCCCCAAGTCTCGCCAGCCGACCTCCAGAAGCTGGTGGACATTGCCACTCTGATGGGCGACACCACCACGGCGGCCAAGTACCAGGCGGAGCTGGACAAGGCCAGAGAGGTCCGCCCCGTCCACCAGCGAGCTGCACAAGCCCAGCGTAAGGTTTCTGCGATCGAGAAAAAGCTCAACGCAGCCACGGACACTCTGGCCAACCTCCAGAAGCAGACTACTGTGCAGGCTGAGCTCGTTCACGCGCTGGTCAGCGACCTCACAGATGCGGAGAACGCCTACAAGGCCGTCCTCGAGGAGGAGCACCAGGCCACAGTCGGAGCCAAAGAACCCACCGCCGCCCCTGCCAAGCTGAACCTCCAAGCCCTCCTTGAGGGGCAGCTCAAGGCCGAGGACCTCTTCGACGACGGCGGGATGTTCGACATGGGAGATGAATACGAGTTGGGAGCAGAAGACGAATCCGAGATTGCCAAGCGCAAGGAGGAGCTCAAGGCCCCCATGCAAAAAGTCGCCGCCCAGCTCTTCCAGGAAGCCAAGCAGAAGTGCGACGCCACCAGGGCCGCCCACGAGGCGCAGAAGCAGAGGCTCAAGGCCAAGCGGCCCCGCGCAGAGTCTGCTCCTCCTGGGGGCCGCGCTGCTGGCGCTGCAGGCGGCGACGACGGAGCTCAGGCCTCAGGGGGTCACCCAAGCGCCGAGCCCGCCGCCACCCCAGGGGCCCCCCCAGGGGCAACAGTCGCCGCCGACGCCACCTCGCAGCCCCAGCCCAACGCCAAGGAACGGGCTGCGGCCGACCTGGCGGGCAAGGGCGCCAGCAAGGGCAGCGACGTCAAGCAGCGCGGGTAGCACGCAGCCAACGCCACCTGTAAGAACACGTCGGGTGCGCTTCCTAGAGCACCCCAGCTACCACTACTTTGAACCAGAGGCGGATGATGCGCAGTGTCCAGGGGGCCGACACTACCTACAGCATGATCAGAGCCACAAGTTTGGAGAAGGTACGGCTCATTCATACAGGGGGAATGAGAATACCCAACAGGACATACGAACACCAGATAAGGGCCCCCCACGTCGCCGCAGGTGGGGGAAGGCCTACTCTACGACATACACGGGACCAACCTCGAGCTGCACCAGGTCGTCTACTGGGCCATCCTTGACGAGCGGTGCACTCACGGCCCCAATGGGGTCGCAGAGGTCGCCACACGGAGTTCCTACACACCTCCCCCATCTGGCCCGCTCCTCGGGGATGGGGGCACGCTCAACCCAGATGCAGAGGACATCATCGCAGAGGGCGGCTGGTTCCTCATCGGGCACCTCGGCCCCCGACGGCACGCACCGCTCAGCCCAACCAGCTGACCGAGGTGACGCCAGAGGGTACCGACCGTCGGCTGGAGCCGTCGGCACGCACTGCTCAGCGTTGCCAGACCAGCGCAGTGGGGCCAGAGGGTACCGACCGTCGGAGGCAGCTGGGAGTGCCAGCCCAGATATCGAGAATGCGCCTCCACCTACAGCTGACATAACGCCAACCGATAACACTGCGCCGCAGAAGGAGACGGATGGCAAGCACAGGAGGACCAACATAGAGGACGAGGATGATCTATTCAACCTGCTCGAGGATCAACATGAGGTCCAGGGTGGATGGCCAGAAATTAAGCGAGAAGACAACCCGCCCGAACCCAAGCAGTCGGAGACCCAGGAGGTGGAGCCCGACAGCCAGGCACCCCTGGAGAACAACCGAGTGGGAGTACCTCAGGCCCCGCAGCGAGGGGAGCTCAAGCAATACGGACACCCGAAGCATGCAAAGACGAATGACGTCATATTCTTTTTTCAGTAACTACACCAAGTAGACCGAGCTGGGCCAGAAATGTATCAGGGAGCTTCGGCACAAGCACCAGATCCACATCCATATGGGAGCAGAGACTCATATTCGGGAGGGGGGCAATATCACGCAGCTGCTCGACATCTTCGGCGAGACCACTGGCAGGTGGAAGGCCGTGAAGCTCGAGCCACTGAAGTAGGAGGCCAGCTTGGGCACGGAGGCACGTGGGTTATGATATCTTCCCTCCTTGCCTCTCGCCCCCCTCCGCCTTCGGCAAACTGAGTGGTCCACTCCGGCTCAGGGCCAGGGGCAGTGGGCCGCCAGGGAGCTACGCATCCACGGGACGAGCATCCTGTTTATTTCAGCCTACTTTGCCGAAGGGGAGGGCCTCGCTGGGTCCAATATGGCAATGATGGAGGAGATATCCTGTAAGATTCTGGCCCTGGGTATTCCTTCATCTGGGCTGCCGGTTGGAACATGGAGGTCGACCAGGTCAGGACTTCGGACATCGAAAACTACCTGGGGGCCGCGTTCGCGTTACCCAAAGGGGCCCAGAGGCAGTTCGGGAAGAGGGTTATCGACTACCTCTTGGTCTCCAGGCCCCTCCTCGAAGATCTCTCTCTTGAATGCGATTATCACGGGCCTTGGGCTCAGCCGCGCATCGGCCTCATAGGGAAGCTCCGGAAGCAGTGCGTCCCCAGGCAAATGCAGGTGGTGGTCGAACCCCCGCCGCTCCCGCTTGGGTGCCGGGGGCCGACGCTTCCGCGGGCCGCTTTCGTTCGGAGTGCCCAGGGACTGGTCGAACGAGCCCCAGGGCCGAAGTGCAACGCCGCAGCTGCCTGCACCTCTACTGCAATACCCAGGCAGCACGCAGTTTTTCTCTTGCGGTGGAGGCGCTGCATCTTTCTAAGCACGGCGACCCTGCTCGGCCGGTTCGCCACCATCGGGGGTGGGCGCCACAGCTCGCCACCAAGCTAGCAGCCCCTACAGGGCCATCGCCGCGAGCAGGCAGCACCGAGCAGCTCGCCTTTTGGAAGACGATGGTTGCGCGCTTTCAGGACCTCATCGGGGCTACCGCCGGGAAGGACTCAGAGGGCAAAAAGCGCAGGAGGCTCCACTTCGGGTCCCTTATACACTCCAAGGTTACCTGGGCTGCACCCTGCATGATCCCCTCGGAGGCCCAGGAGGGTGTCTCGGAATTCCTGCTGGGGTTGACCACATCCACGACCTAGACCGCGATGGGGACTCGGGCCACTGCTCGGCTCTGCAAGTGTCTTCGGGGCCAGGCCGACAAGCTCGCCTACCAGGCCAGGAAGGAAGGATTCCAGGAGTGGCTCCAGGAGAGCCTAAAAGGAGGGGCCAAATGGGCCCATTACCACACCAGGACCTGGGGCCTGCCAGAGCCCACGCCCAAAATCGAAGTGGACGACTCTGGAGCCCCACTCTGGGAAGCGAGTGAATCGCTGAAGGTCAAGGCCCACAGGTGGAAATCTCTTTGGACTGATCCACAGGGGCAAGGACAGGCCGTTGAACAGGACTGGTGGCGAACCTTTCGTGACGAGGCGCTCGAGGCGATGCGCGACTTGCCGCCGCTCGATCTTCAACATCTTGCAAATGCATGCAAGTGCTTCCCTGCCAGCATGGGCAAAGGAGCATGCCAGTGGCACCCACATCTGCGGGCAGATCTCCCAGAGGATGGCCAAACTGCCCTGCTCGACTTGCTTGCGTCGATCGAGGCGGAGTGCAGATGGCCAGCCCAAGTTTTACTCAACGAGGTAGGCATGCACCCCAAACCCACAAGTGAAGGAGACCGCCCTACTACCCGCACCCAGAGACTCTACCGTGTATGGAGCCGTCTTCGGAAGGACCCCATCTCCCAATGGGAAAAAGCACGTGCTGGCTTCTGGGACGCTGCAGTCAAAGGTTCCGATCCCCTTCGTGCTGCTCTGCTTTGCCTCGCCCGAGCAGAAATTGCGATTGGTCCCTGGCGCTCCTGGACGCCGATTTTTTCGACACCTTGGCACCCTTCTGGATTATTGTTTTGGGAAGCAGCTGGATTACCCCATCGGCATCATGTACCTAGGCATGGCTATGCACACAGCTGGCCGAGTCCTAACCATCGGACCAGAGGTCACTGACTTTCTGACGGTATATCGTTCCATTTTGCAAGGTTGTCTGCA